CACACACACACACACACACACACACACACACACAAGCAAGCCCGGTGTGAGTTTCAAGCTGTCAGGTCCAGGACTTAAACCATGGTCGACCACATGGGAGTCCAGTCCCTTAACCACTATGCCACCTATTGGCCCCATGTTTTAAATTGTTATCTCAAAGGGATAGGGTATATTTTCTTCCTGCTTAGGGGTATATGCCCCTCTAGAATACCTGGCAGGTACTCAGTGCTCGGAATGATCACAGCTTTTACATTTCTATGTTCTATGATCATGACTTAACTCCCAGGGAGCACATCAGACACTCACCACAGACCGACCCTCGCACTAATCTCCTTAAATGAGGTCTCTCTGGGAGGTAGCGGTATTTGCATCCAAAGATACTGAGGTTTGATGTGTGGTCTCCAAAGAAGCGGAGCTGGCGGTATCTCTCCCCACATCGGTAACAAAAATTAGTGTTACATTGTGAACAGGTCATATGGTCACATCCTTCAGTTCTCTGGATGTGGATCTGTATCAGTGAAAAAGGAAAAGGGAAGGAAAGATTATTAAAGTTTTAAAAAGTCTGCAAATCTTATAGAACAATGTTTATAAGTTTCACCAAAAAAAAAAAAAAAAAAGGTACCACATAGCATTCCTGAGGCTATCAATTTGTGTATAATCACACTCTCTAGGATTGCATTTTTATGAAGTATATTTATGTGTGCAAAGCTTGGTAACATTTCAAGCTTCTCGTTGTGACCAATATATAAATAAACACATCCCAGGGAATACTCATCTGTTTTCCCAGACATACACCCAACTCTGTAGTTAAGTAGTTTAAAACACCAGAGCAGCAGTGGCACACATTGCTAAGACACTGTGCTCTAAAGGCTCGGACCGCAGGGGAGGCCCAGGTTCGATCACCAGCCTAACCCAAAGACCAGGTGTGGTGATGTTGTCTGTAATTCCAGTGACTCAGAAAGGATGGTGAGCTCAAAGCTGCCCTGGGCAACATAACAACAGACTGTCTAAAAAGAGCAGGGCATGGTGGCTCACGGCTTGTAGTCCCAGCTGGGATAGTACAGCAGGTGGATCACCAAAGGGAGACTATTTGAAAGAAAAATGCTGTACTTTGTTTATGCTATGATTACCAAGAACAAGGTGGCTTGGAGGACTGAGAAGAGATGAAGAGTATTTCTTAAAAGAAAACAAATATGTAAAACCTTTCGTGAACAAACATCAAGGAACAGAATCTCTCCTTGACAAAGAAAATAAAAGAAGATAGAAGTATATTCTCCGTACTGTTTTAGTTTCCAACTCTAATATCATTTGTAAATAGAATATTTTTTGCTTGATAGGACAATGTCATCTATGCAAGTAAGGACTATCTTTTACTGTTGCAGTCAAGTTATGGGTAAATACAGCTCCACTCATAGTGTAACAAGGATTTTATTCTTGGATAGTCTACTATATACACAATGTGGCAGTTACTATCTCCAGAACTGACACCATGTTATTATATAATCGAGATATTACACCCTAAGATGTAATTGAAAGCTTGACTCAGAATCCTCATAGACACTGCATATAAATTGAAATATTTTTTCTTAATTGGCAGAGGGTGCATGAGCTAGCAGAGAGAGAGATAGAGAGAGAGCGAGAGTGAGCACTGAACAGTGGGGTATGGTCACGCGGTCATCCCTTCTCCTCTATTTATGTATCCTGTCAGGCTTTGGGGCATGCACATGCATGCACCTGGTGTGTTTCTCAAGCTGCCAGGGTTGGGATATGAACTGTGTTAGTAATGTGGGATCTCGTTCCCTTAACTATTAGTCTATGGGGTCAACCCTAGAGCCATTTTTCACTCAAATATGTGCATACTTTGTGAAAGAGAATTTAAGGTTAACTTAACATTGTTTCATAAAAAGAAAAATAATTTGGTTCTACTGCCCGCTGTCCTCTGATTAAAATGGGATTAAAACACAGTCTTCCCATTTCCACATATATAGGGTTGTTGGAAAAGTCATGCTGCATTTTTGCATAGAAAATCAAAGAAAAATGTGTCATGATTTTTTCTGACAACTCAATAGAATAGGCACTTACTGCAAATAGGTCACATCTTCATATATATATATATATATACTAATTCTTTGCTTGGGAATTTTACTCCAAATGTTCCCAATATAATTGTGACTTTTGTAAGTGTCTTTCTATGATGCTGCTTTGGGACTAGTGTGTCAGTAAAGGTTTTAATGCAATTGGGAACTTAGTAATTAACACATGCATCAAAGCCTTCAACAGTTGGTTGACTCTTATCAGTTAAGGTTGGGCCATAGCCCACAGCGTTACATATTTCATCTGAAATTAAGCTCTTTCCTCTAATATGCAGTTTTGCAATCTTGCAGTAGTGTAGTTATAGTTGCATTAAAAGAAAAAAAGAAACTTGGTTAATGATTATGGAGATGAGAAAAGTCATGCAAAAGAAAGAGAAAATGTCAGGGACCAGCAGTTGGTGTAATGGCTATGTTGCTGGACTCCCATGTAGTTGACCTCAATTCAAGTCCTGGACCCGGTGGCTTAAACTCATGCCAGGCACATGTGTGTGCGTGCCCAGGATCCCAAGAGGAGAATGGAGAAAGGATGCATTGGGGCAGCGTGGCTATCCCCCCTGGGGGGTGATTTCTCACTTTCTGTCTCTCTGG